CAAGATGTTCTGCTCCTGGATTAGCTGGGTGGTTCTGTCCCCTAGTCTCTCTGCAGGGACTGCAGGTGTAGTGTTTCACTCCAGGCCTGTATGCCAGGCCTAGGCTGAGTCTGAAGGAGCAAGGGGGAGTAGAGGAGAGAGGAAGTTCTCCCACACACTCACCAGGCCTGGGCTAGGGCTGGATCTGGGAGTCCCAAGTATGTGTCAGAAGTTCTCACTCACTCAGTGGGTGTGGCGGGGGGCTTTGGAGTGGTGGTGGGGTCCCAAGGGCATGGCAAAGATTCTCACCCACGCTGTGCCTTGGCTTGGACCAGACAGGTCCCATGGGCCCAGGGTAGCTGGAATCTCTCCCACACACTCACCGGACCTGGGCTAGGGCTGGATCTGGGCGTCCCAAGAATGTGGCAGAAGTTCTTACTCGGTCAGTGTGATGGGGGACTGCAGATGGTGGGGGGGGGTGTCCCAAGGGTGCAGAAGAGTATCTCACTCATGCTGCGCCTGAGTTTGGACTAGACATGTTTTTTTTTTTTTTTTTTTTTTGTCTTTTTGAGATAGGGTTTTGCTATACAGTTCAGGCTGGCCTTGAGTTCACTTTTGTATTCCAGGCTGGTCTTGAACTCACAATGATTGTCCTGCCGCAACCTCCATAGTGCTGGGGTAACAGACATGAGCTACCATGCCTGGCTGAGGCAAGTTGATTTAAAAGGTAAGGCTCTTCAACATAGCATCAAAGAGGGAAATGAGAGAGGAATCCCTCCCTCTGGGCCAAGCTGGGCAAGTGTGGATTAACTGTGCAGCTGAGCTCCCAGAGGAAATCGACAGTGATGACCCCAGCTATGTGTGGGTACAGCTATGAGGTAGTCAGCAGAGCATACAGGACCCCTTTGCCTGAACTTCCTTCCTTGGTCACTGGTCAGCCCCCTTAATTACTGCTTTGCTTCTGTGACTGCTGCATGCTGATTTCCAGTGAGAAATTTCACTGCAGAAAAAAAAAAACAATATAAAAATGAAAACGAAGCTTTGTTCAGGGCTCTCAAGGAGACATTAGTCCCTTACAGAGATGCCAGCAAAATAAGTTGCTCTTTGTTTCTAAACTCTGTGTTCTGTTGGAGATCCTGTGCATTTGCCTTTCTCACCCCACCTTTGCCCCTGTTTCTGTGTACAGCTCACTTCCCTCCTCCCAGCTCAGGAAATGGAAACTCAGACTCCAGGTTCCACCTGCCCCCGCAAGACGCCAGGATCCAGGAACCCCTTGCTGCCCCTCCAGGCCTTCTTACTCTACTGACAGGCAGCAGGAAGCGGATAGGAACATTGCAACTGTGGAGGTCCAAGATGCCTGGACTTTAGCCCTAAAAGGATGCTGCCCTTCAAATCAGACCAGAGGGGAGGCTGGGCCCCCAGGCCCCAGCCTGGAGGGAGGCAAGTAACTTCAACTCATTGTGGCTCAGCCACCTCCCGTCTCTGAATATTGAGAAGCGCCACCAAACAATATCACTGGAGACTCGCAGGGGCCGATGTGCTGGAGAGACCATCAGTCTCCCTGCCTCTCCCTTCTGCTCCATCACTCCATGTCCCTGGAGCGCAGTCCTAGCTCCTGACCCTGAGGGAGCCCTGCACCATGAGCTCAGGGGCCAGAAGAGCCCTGTCCACCTCCACCTCAGGGCCATGACCAGAGTGCCACAGAGGGCTGCTCCCACCCTCGTTCCCCTTGCTTGCTAGCACTCCAGGAAGGGCTGTGTTTTCAGACATGATTCCCAGCCTTCCTCAGGACTTGCTGAGATGGAGTCAGGCACCCACCTCAGAGCTGCCCTGGGCAGGCTCCTCTGTGAGGCTGGTCTCTTCATGATGCTTTTAAGGATCAGTCCCAAGCTTGTCTCCCTCTGTGGCAATGACAAGGACACTGAGCTCACAGAGTTCAGATGTCCTCCCTGAGCTTCCATGAAGACCACCATCCCCCTACAAGTGGGGCTCCTAAGAACCGGACTCAATCTGCCACCTGGACAAGCAGTGACTCAAACTCAGACACACTCCGAGGCAAATCACCAAGGAAATGTGTGACAGCGGCAGCAGGGGTGGAAGCAAGGGTGAAACACCCACTCTGGGGCAATGGTGCAGGTGGCCAGAGCTGCCCAGAGATTCAGCCAGGCCTCGTGGCTCACGCCTGTAACCCCAGACTCAGGATGCTGCTCTCCAAGGACTGTTGTGAGTTTGAGAGCAGTCTAGGTAGGAGCTGCTTGTTCCGCTCATTTCAGACTGTTTATAAAGGCATGGTGTTGTTCCTGGGTCATCTGATTCGCTGGTGGGGGGGGGCACTTCCTGGGCTGTAGGCTCAGGGGCTCTGTTTGTGTCTGTGGTGAGGCTTTTGGTAACTCTTTTTTATGGCATCTGTTTGTCCCATGCCCACTGTCCACACGGAGTACTTGTTGCTTTAGCCATGTGGCACAGCTTTAGATGATGGGTGGAGACAGGAAAGGGGAGCATGGCCACTGGCAGGTCCCACCTCCCTGCTGGGCCCTTCTGACCCTGGGGAACAGCCAGAACAGAGTCCTGGAGCAGACCTGCCCCAGCTCCGCCTTCCCCACCCAACACCCAGGGAGCATCTTTGAAAAACCAGCCTGCACAGGGCGTCCAGATCCGGGGAGAGCAGCTTCCTGCACGCTCCCGCCCGTTCCTCACCAGCCCACTGCCAAGAGCTCCATGGCTGGGCACCACCACGGGCCGGGGCCATGACAGCTCAGGCCACATTTCGTCCGCAAATGTGTTGCGGTTTGTGTCTGGATATCACTCCCAAGTCTCACTTGGTCACGGGAGGCGGGCTTTCCCCAGGGGGCTGACTCTAGAGACTGTGGTTGGCTTGTCTAGTGCTGGGATTGGGAGTGGGAGTGCTGCACCTGTCTAGGGCAGGCAGCCTGCATACAATACAAGGGAGGAGAAGAGTCTTGCTCTCCACTTGCTCTTGCTGCTTTTGGTGCCTTGTTCCACTATGAACTGCTCTCCTTCTGCCATGCCCCGTGCCACTTTGGAGCTAGCAGATTACAGACTGAAACCTTCAGCTTCCGGGTAGCGGGTGGACAGGGATCTGGAGAGAGGGACGTGTCCAGCCTGGCCTGGTCTCCCCACAGCCTGTGATGGCTGTGCCAGGACAGTGCCCTCCTCGACCCAGGCTAGCTGGAGCACCACGGTCTCCACATCCCCAAACTGCAGGATGTGACCTTCCTTCTTGACCTTGGGTAAGTCCCTTCACTGGGCTTCCCTTTTACACCTCATAAGCAGGTCTAAAGAGGAACTGAGGAGTGAACTCAGGATCCCTTATCCTTCCCTGCCACCCCAGTGGGCATCAGTTTGGGGCTGGACCTGGGAAGGTATCCAGGCCCTTCTGAACCTGAGGCTCTCGGCTTCTTCCTCCCCCATATGGGCCCTGCTGGGAGAGGCCTTTGGCAAGGGGCAGGGGCATGAGGACAGCCAGGCAGAGCAGAAAGATGTGGGAACATTTATTTGAGGCACTAAAGCAGCAGCAGAGCACCCGCCCCTGCGAGGGCTGCGGGTCAGACAGGGGCTCAGCTGAATCTGGGGTGGGGGCCTGGAGCTGGAGCCATGAACAAAACCCTGAATTTAGTGCACTGTGTGTGCAGAAATGCCAGGGTGAGGGGCTTTCTCGGGTGTCCCCACAGGGCCTGATCTTGTCCTGACCTTCCCATGTACCCCCACAACAGCCTGCCCAAAGGTCCTCGGGTTGAGGTGTTCCTCCTGTGTCTACAGGGCTGAGCTCCATCCTTATGGCCCTAAGATTTCCGGGGACACAGCTGATCCCAGAAACGAGGTGGCTGGAATTGGGGCAGGGGCGGGCTGGGCCCTGGGGCCAAGGAGGTGGAACAGGCATGAGGAGGAGTGGGAAGCTTCAATAGCCTCCTGGTGTCTGGAAGGGGCTGGGCTTTTCTTCCAGAACTGGGGGAGCATGGGGCACCAGGTAAAGCAGTTCAGGGGCCCAGCCACAGCATGGCCGACAGCAGGCTGAGCAGGACCCCAAGGCTCAGCAGTGGGGCGCTGGCCTGAGGTCCACTTCCAGCAGCGCTGAAATTGCACAGGGAGGTTGAGCAGCATTTGTTGTCCACAACTGTCACGTAATTGTCAAAGCTTGATATGGGGCAGATAGCAGAGCAGGCTTTGCTCAGGCTGTAGCCATAGTCCACGATTTTCCCTGTGTAGAAAAAGAGGGTGTGAGAGGAGTTATACCCCACAAGCGACAGGAACAGCCCCTGCAGGGCCTTGGCCTCAGGCTGAGGGAAAAGCCAGGTGGGGCCTGGTCACTCTTCCTAGAATTTACCAGTGCCAGTAGAGATAGACTGGGTCACACAGTAGTTGTCAAGTTTTGAGCAAATGGTTGGCCACAGGCAGTAGAAGTTGCTCTTCTGTTTGGTGCAGGAGAAGCACATGAGGGAACAGGCTGTAGAGGAAGGGACACGCTTCAGGCTGTGCCTCTTTGTCCCTCAGAGAGGCCTTCCAAGCTGGCTTTTCTCCTGGCCCTCAATGCCTAGCTGCTTCTGGACATTTATTGGTGGCACCAGACTCTGGCCCTCCTGAGCTCCAGTGATCCCCAAACACAGAGTGACAAGAGAATGGCCAGGCCAGCATTGAGACCTCCAGAGGACCCTGGAAAACACAGAAGGTCCCTGGGAGCCAGCCTGGAAGGACTCCTGGCCTCTGCTCAGGGCTGATGAGACAGGGGATTCAGGAGGGCTTGGCCTGTGAGGAGGTCCAGGGTCCCAGGCACCGCACCTTGCTCCACACCCAGGAGGGCAGCCAGCAGTACTTGCAGGAAGACCTTCATGCTCTAGGGGTAGACGTCTGTGGAGAGCTTACAGAGCCAAAGGAGCCAGTTCTGCTGTGCCTGCGAGAGATGCTGCTCTTAGAGGGCCACGCTGTGCACCCACAGCCAGGGTCTCAGCCTAGACTGTGTCAGGTGACCAGGCATGCCTCACTCTTTTCAGCAACCTGTCACACCCAGCTACCTGTCACACCCAGCTACCATTAAAGAGCAGAACAGCAAGGCCAGGGTGGGGGCACTGTCAGTACTTTTAGAATCTGAAGGAAATGGCAGCCCTGGAGTAGCCATTGTTGGTGGCCCTGATGAAATGCTACTGGCTAGCAGGGTGCCTATAGTCCAGGCCACTCCTGAGGCAGAGGACTGGGGGTTACACTGGGGGCCGGGGCCCAGGGCTATTCCCGCTGGAAGCTGGAGAAGGCCTGTTTGCCTTCTTCCTGTGGCTCCACCAGGGCCTTCAGTGAGGCTCTTCTATGCCCCTCTCGTCTGGGAGGCAGCTTAGGCAGGACATGGCATGAAGGGCGCAGGCGAATCCTGGTGGGGACACCTGACTGCTGTGGGCTCTGCACCAGGATTACTCAGAGGGCTGGGGTCTGTGGCACCCGGTGAACAAGCTGGAAGCAGGATTTGGCTCCTGTCAGCTTTGGGCAGGGGAAGAACAGGAATCCTGGGGGGAGTACAAGGCTGGCCAGGGCTGCAAGCGGTGGCCCCTGAGAATGGGTCCCAGGGCTCTCCTTTCTAGGCCTGGACTTCAGCCTGTTTCTGAAAGGTTAAGACGGGTCTTTAAACATTAGGATTTAGAAAGACGAGCTGCTTCTCCAGCTTCCTCCAGCAGAGACAGATGCCCTCAGCCCAGCCCCTGGGCAAGGAGAACTCCACGTCCCAGTCTGGGCCCTGCACGTTGGAGTGGCTTCTGTGAGCTCCAGGAGGGTGGCCCAGCTGTCCTCCCACTTTGGCCAAATTATGAACAAGCTTGTTTTTCCAAAAGTAAGCTTTTGTCTTTCTTGAAGGCAAGTGGGTGAACAATCCAGACTCAGGCGTTCGACCAAGCCCCTCACCTTACCCGCCTGGCAACACACTGACATGTGGGAGCTGGAAAAGAGTTCCAGAAGGGCAAAGTTAGGGCCAGCACGAGTGCCAAGCCTCTTCCTGCCTCAGACAGTGCAGGGTGGATGGAATCTCCAATTCTTCCTGTAGAAGGTGAGATTTTAGCCTGGAAGAGCCCTGAGCTGTCTGCAGGGACGATCCAGTGTGCGTAGCCACGAACAAGTCGGATGGCGACAGTCTCTGTCCACTATGAGGCACCCCCTCCAGCCAGCCCTGTCGGGCTGAACTAGAGCACTGGCAGGCTAGGGCCAGTCTGTCTAATGCTCCCTATGGCAGCGGGAGCCAGTAAGCCCTGGGCAGGACCCCCTAGGAACTCAGGACTCAGAGCTGACTCCTGAGTGGCCAACAAGAGAAGCAGGACTCGGCAGGTCTGAAGGGGTGACAAGGGTCCAAGGGGCGGCAGCGCACTTTATGGGCACATGCACATCTGGTCCCAAACCCAGAGGTTTGTTCTTCTTTCCTGGGGCAGGACTCAGTCCCAAGGTAATCAACCCTTAGGCCAGTAATCCTTCCCTTCCCGTTAAGGACTTCCCCAGGATCCTGCTGCTCTCCACCTGCCAGTCCATCCCACGCTGGAGAGCTGACTTTGGAGTCCCCTTTTGATGTTCTAGACCTCTGGAAATACCCGGGGAGGGGTGGGGGATGGGAGCGGGGGCCCCTCTGGCGGCGCTAACCCCAGCCCCCACCCGCTCCTCCCGGAGCTTGCTCCCACCCTTTCCCTGCCCCCCGAGGCTGGCAGGCGCAGCCGACTCACAGAGGGAGGAAGCACCGTCCTGGCCTTGCTGAGCTGCCTGCCAGTGCCGGAGAGCAGGAGAATGCAAGGCCTGGGGACAGGGGTAGGGAGTGTGTGCATGTGTAGGGGCGGGGCTGGGCAGTCGCAGTGCAGGATCACCCGCTGAGGTTTCAGAGGGTCTTGAAACTGTGTGCCTTGCCTGCCCCTCTGACTGTGGGGTTTTTCCAGTTCCTCGCTCAGGAGCACTTGGTGAGGGTCTCCAGGCTCCACGTGACACACTGAGAGGGGGACACTCTCCTCCAAGACCCCCAGTGCAGTGGTGCCTGAGCCCCAGCTCAGCCTGCTGGTCTCTCTTGTTGCCCCAAGGGGAGAGTCACTGACTCTTGAGCCTGTGGCAGGGCCTTGGCCAGGCCGCGTCTAGGCAGTGTGGAGCCACATTTTGGAGGCTCCTGGTACAACGCACTCAAGCCAGAGGATGCAACTGTGCCCTCTGCTTCGGACACCTCATCTCTGGCCCTGCCCAGCTGCCAGTAGACATGGTCTGTGGTTTCTGTGGGCTGAGTTGGCTTGGACCTTGCCTGTCTGCCTCTTAGCAAGCAGGGTTTTTTTTTTTTTAATTTTGGGGAAGGGTCTACAGGGTGTTCAGGGTCTTACTACTAGATCAGACTCAGTGATCTGCCTGTTTATAGCCTCCCAAGAGCTGGGATTATGGGTGTGCACCACCACTCCCAGTCTCAATTGCCATCTCAGTGCACCCCTGGGGCGGAGCTGGTACCCAGGTTGGGGTTTGAAACCCCGGCCCCTGCACATGCTTGCAGGTGCTTTAATCTGCTGAGGTATTTGGCTGGCCCTATTGGCAAGCAGTTAAGTTCCCTTCTCCAGACCTCAGCCAGGATGGCCTGTAGCCTCCTGTCTCTTCCCCAGCCTGTGGCCCTCCACCCCCCAGCACAGGTGCAGAATGACTCCCTACTGCTTCACCTGTGCTCCTTATGGATCCTTCATGTCTTTTTGTTTCTAAATGCCCATCAAATGTTTTTCCGGTGTGCACACACAGGGCACCTGCTGTGTGGGGCCCACTCCTGCCTCTTTGGAGGGGCCTGCAGAGAGACATTGCACAGTGGGCA